GTCTCCTCTGAGAATTCAGCCAGGTCCTCCAGGCTGGCCTCCCGGTGCAGCCCGTTCTCAGCCCGAACCGGACCCTCTGGCCCCGGTGCTGCATCTGCTGGTGCCTCCTGCACCGTTGGCTCCTCCTCGCTGGATGAGGCAGGCGAGGAGTCTTCCCCGGTGTCCCCGGGGAGCTCGGTCCCGTCAGGATCCCGCTGCCCACCCTCGGCCGCCCTCACCCCCATCACCAGCTCCTGGTTGAACTCCAGGGCTTGATCGACTATTTCCAAAATATCCGTGTCTTCCATGACGTCCGCCGTCACCTTTGCCGCGAGATCAGACACTTCTGGGCCTTCTTCAACCACCTCCAGGAAACCCCCTGGCTCTGACGCGGGGCTCAGCCTCCGCGGGTCGGCCTCAGCGGGCTCCTGATCTCCAGCTGCGAGAGGGCTGTCACCCTCCGGAGCTTCCAGAGCTTCCTCCTCTGCAGATGGCTGCTCATCCGACGTCTGCTCCGCTTGGTCAGGCAGCGGAGAAACCGGCATCGCCTGGGCCTGGAGCTCTGCCAGAGGGATGGACTCGGTTGCGTCATGGTGAGCCGTGCCAGCCTCATCCTCCTCCTCCTCCTCCTCCTGCCCCACCAGCTCCAGGTCGCAGCCTGGGAGGGTTTCGGCTCTGCCGGCATCGTTCTCCAGCTGGGCCGTGCCGTCAAGCTCCTTGTCTGACTCAGCACCCAAACCCTCCGAGCACCCTGGTCCCCGCTGTGCGCTGGGGCCTGCGGCACCCTGCGTGGGCTCATCAGTGCCTCCTGCTGCTGCGCCCACAGCCCCGGGGGAGCTGGGCTCCGCTTCGGGCACAACTGGGCCTTCCTCCAGCTCGGCAGTGAAACCCCCAGCATCCTCATCCTCATCCTGTGGCATCTCGGGTTCTTCTGTGGGCATCTTCACATCTTCCTCTGCTCCACCAACGAACGCCTCGAAGTGCCCTTCATCCTCTGGCGCCGGAGATGCTTCTCCAGGAGCTTCCACATCATCTTTGCTGGCTTCGGTTGCTTCAACTTTGATTTCTTCAAAGTCCTCGGACATCTCGGCTTCCTCTGAGCTGGACACCTCTTGGCTGGGAGCAGCGACCATGAAGTAGCCTTCCTCCTCCTCAGCACCCTCTCCCCCAGGGCCTCCCTCCGCCCCTGCCTCCTCTTCGCGGCTCTCTGGCACGGTGGGACTTGGTGGCTTGTCCTTCCCTTCCAGCCAGCCGTCATCCTCCGGAGCTGTTTCGGATGCAGGGGCTGTCTCTGTGATCCCCTCCATCTCTGGAGGGTTTTGGCTGGGTGTGACCACAGCCAGCATCTCCCCTTCGTAGAGGTGCAAGGGCGTGCTGTCTGGCAGCGTCTCCTCCAGCTCCACCCCCCTGCCCACGCCTGGAGCCCCGTCCGGCTCTCCCCATCGCCCAACATCCTCCTCCGCCGGCTCCGTGCTGTCACCCCGCACTGGCTCAAGTGCCGCAGGGCCGGTGCTGCTGCTCTCGGGCTGCCCTGGGGCTGAGCCGAGCTCCTCATCCTCATCCTGCACCTCCCGTGGCTCCTCGGGAGTCTCGGCTGT